ATAAATCATTTTTATCAAATCACTAAAACAAAATTATTCACTAATAAATCTAATTCGTTAGTATTAGCCTATTCATTCTGATCCACATAAAATAATAAAAATCTGTTATCATCAATTAAAATACGCTCTCCCAAAAATAATTGGTGACAATATCATTGATTGATTTAAACCAATTTCAACTTTGGAATTTAGACAAATTTCTTTGGCAATCTGTTTTTGACTTGTAGTTGTAATATTTTTGTGATAATCTACTACAGATTTAAATCTCTCCACAAGCATCCTTTTCTCTTTTGTAAATAGTTTACACTTTCTTTTTTGCCATTCTTCACTTGGATCATCTATAATTTTTTGGTCAGTTTTTTATCACTAGAATAGGGATTGTGAACTTGTAATAGTTTCTCTGCAACTAAATGTTGTGAAGATTTGATTGAATCTACACGCAATTTGATATATTGCTCCACAGATATGTTGCATTTTTTGATATCCATGTTTTTAATAATATTATTTTCAACTTCAACGTTGCTGTTGTTTTTCGTGTACAAACTTTTATTGCAGGTAAAACATTTGACCAAAACAATATAAAATTCCATCAAGTTTTTTCAAAGTAGTTCTGAAGAGATGGATTATATAATGGATTATATATTTGTTGACAAGCTTCATTATGTTCTAATACTTTAATTTTTATATTTAATGTAGGAAAATCAATAATATAATTTTTATTTTCTTCCAATATTAAAAATAATAAATTATTATTAATTTTATACTCAAACTTATTATTAATTGATTTATTGATTGTATTCTCATCATCGTCAAATCAATGTCTCTGAAGTTTTGATATTATTGTACATTGTAATGTTGTGGTGCATAATGGCTGAATCCGTTGGCTCTATGGAAACAGGTTAAGGTCTTTATTTGAATAAAACAAACAATTCAAATAAAATGAATAATTCAAAGCAGATAATATAACTGATAGTAATAGTAATGGTTAGAGTCAGTGTATTTAGGCAAGAGGACTTATTAAAATTGTGGTTCATTATCTCATTTCATTCCATTTTTCTTTTCTTTTCTTTAGTCAATTAATAGTTGTGGTGCAACAGTTGAATCTTGATTCAACAGATTGAGGTCAAGAATGATTTAATAAATAAAATTCTTCTTAATATAACGGATTTTTGGAAAAAATTTCTTAATTGCTCCCATACTAACACTATTTACTAAACTGAGACTCACTGTGTAATTAGTTTTCCTTGTAGTGATAATAATAATAATAGTGATAGATGTATATTTTCT